TCAGCTTTCTAGATTGCGACGTTCCCGAAAACCTTTTCCCGCCAAAAAAATTCACGTCTCCGTACGTGAGAGCCGCGTGCACCTGAGCGTCCATTTTGAGGATGGGGGCCCACATATACGTGTAGATTACGTTGTCAAAGTTTCAGCCTTGTAGCTTTTATAAATCTCGGGATGAAAACTCGATACAGACGCACACACAGACACACATACGCACACACATACACACACACACACACCCTTACAATCTTTCGACACTATGCGTTTTTGTATTGCATAGATGCAAAAAACGCATAAAACCGACCAAGTAGTGTGCGATGTGTTTTGAGCTAAACAGAAGAGCAGAACAGATAAGAGCAGAACTTTTGTCAATTTGTAAGAAATTTTTTCCTACACCAACATGCATTACATTAACTGCAAAAGCATCCAGTTCTGTTGCATGGAAGTAAAACACAGAAACCAAGCTACTGAGAAGAAAACGCTATCAGTGACACAACGCACCGTGGGACGACTAATGGTAGGTATCAGAAAGCTGATGCACGTATCCAGTAAAAACAACGGTTTGGTATGGCTCAAACGATGATATTAGTGCAGCATACATCAGAAAGAACTGCGTTAGTCATGTGAGAACTAGGAAATAGCAGAAAGAGAAAATGGATGACCGAGCAAAATCCATGAAATGGCAGAAGAATACAGTTAAGACCGCTGATGCGTTGCAAAGTTCCACTTGAATGTCACTACTAAATCCATTAGATGAGGAAGAGATGAAACGGAGAAAAAGAAGTTGAAGGTAGCGTAATGGTGTGAAGAAAGGTAGCACGACGAAGAAGAAACTGGCCAGAGTAGTATTCAACTTCAGCTCAGAAAAGCCAAAAAAGTGCTACAGGTATTTAAAATGAAACAAAGACAGCTTGTACTAATTTTGGTATCTCTTTCCTTCTTAACCATACAGCTTTTACTGCACACTTACCTATGATTTTATTCTGATGAATAATCATGTGCTTTCTTTGTCGAACACAGGTTGCAGGATTTGACAGTAGCGCCGATGGATATACGATGGGGCGCTCCAAAGTGCAGTCAGCGTTCGTTGGTGATACCGGTTTACTAGTCAGTGACAACGATCAGTCACTGCCAACGCAAAGCGAGCCGAATCTGAGCGAAATGGGACTGCCAGCAGTTGCGAAATCACAGAGAGAAGCATCGTTTACACCTCCTCCGAATTTCAGTAGTAGAAACAATGGTGTTTTTGGGATGGGGCGACAACCGGAAGAGAATTTCGACGAAGTTTTATTGCGAGATAAATGATTTTTTTTTCTGTCAATAATAGTATCTCTTCTAAAAGCGCGTTCGCGTTTTCATGGATGAGGCTGGAGAAGATGGCTGTAGAAGGTAGGACGGAGAGGTGATTTAATTATGTCTTCGAGGAGTGGATTGGGTTTATCAGTTAACACTAATATCCATTTCAAATACTGCCAGCTAACTGAAATCGCTTGAGTATGAATCAATATAAGGCAGCCATGTTAAGCCATTTTCATTCTGAACTGTACGTCTCCATTTGATAATTCCCATTCCTTATGCGTGCGCGTGGTACTTTTCGGTTCAGGCAGCTGTTTTCCCCTATGGAACACTTACTGACACGCGTCATCCAGAGGTTGCCAGTAAAGCAAACAGTAGAGTCCATGCAGCAAAGCTAGCAACAGAATCCAGGCATTTCTTTCTATAGTAATATCCCGCATGCCACTCATCTGCCAAAGTATTTAATCATCATCTGTGTCTGTGTGGTCCTCAGTAATACTTCAGACATCACCACTTCACCACACCTGGGGCCTGCTCTTATATTTCCGTCAGTGATCACGTTTGTCATATGTATTCCACTGCTCCAAACAAGCGGCACTGAAAATTGTACGTGGTTCTTTCGGTTTATTACTCCAAGGGCAGTGGCGGTGTTTTTCAGCATGAACCAATCGGCAGC